TATGTCATAAAATATTCATAATTGTTGAAATCTAGTTAATCATGCAGCAAAATTCAATTTTCATGACTCATCAACATGAAATCAAAGCTCACACAATAAAATTGTAATGTCAACAAAAGAAAAGGTCAATTTGAACTCTTGATCCTATTGTTCTCTTGTGCTATTCATCGACAAAGTTTAAGTTCGAAGGTCTTATTTTAATCATTTTATTTAGAAAGATATTTTAGTCACGATACATTGACACAGTATTTAACATCCAAATACTTGGATGTAATCCCCAGCTTCAGACAATAAATTAGGTCAAAATCTTGGATTCATCTGAGCATGGATTTGATGAAGAAGATGTGACCAAACAAGAAGAGCCATCAACTCATTCTAATTGATATGTCAGGCATTTCTCTGTGAGTTGGTTGACATCAAAATGTAGTTTCTAATATGTGAGAGGAATATCTTGAAGTCTTGATTTTGTTCAAATCTAAACATCATATGTACCCCACAACAAATCTAGACATTCCCAAGAAACTTGTTACAGTGGTCATTGCATAAATGAAACTTATATCAACAGATAGATAACATTACAAAGGTATTTCCATATCTTTCAGCAACTTATTTCCTTGACAAATACTGTGGTTTGGGAACACAAGAGAGAGAGAGAGAGAGAGAGAGAGAGAGAGAGAGAGATAAAAAGATTCATTGATTGTGCATCTTCACCTATCTGGTCTCATAGGTGGTAGTTCATTGTCCAACAATTCTCTACTAAATAATATTTTTTTGGTTGGAAGATATATGTGTAGCTGCAAGAGTGATGTTCTCATTAAGAGAAAATTTAAGGCAGCTTTGAAATGGATTATAAGGAACTAAACTTATAATCTAATGCACAATATATCCAAACTATTCCAACTAATTGCATATCCACAAGTGTAAGTCCTTTTCTCTCTTGATGATGTATGTAAACTCACATACACTTCCATTACTTGATGGTACTTTTCCTTGGTGAGATTTGGCAACTCATAACTTGCTCATCCATCATATTTCAGCTACTTGATTCTTGGCATTCAGGTAGACATAAATTCTTCATGATCTAAAAGGCTCTCAATGAACATAAAAGTAAAAGAAAATAAAAGAAGAGGCTTGTGCTGATGCAAGGCTTTATCCTTTTGCTACCTATATGTGTCACGCATGACACCACGGAGCACCAAAAAGAAGGAAAGAGAGGATTAAATCATGTCATTCATGGAGACAGTCAGTCATCCATCGTTAAGCTTTAGCTTTTCATGAGTGCCTTAAGAATGATTGACCATTGTTGCAGTAAGCTTTAGTTTTTCTTGGATCTTATGCCTAAATCATGAGAGTTTGAACCTTTATAGTTAATGATAATGAGGAATGAGTAGAGTCAAATTGTCACCTATTTATTGTAATTTTTAGTTTATTATAGGTTGGATTTTCTAAAACTTAAGATTACTCAGACTCCTTTAAGTCAGATTAGGATGTTTGTAAATTGGATTTGGTATTTATATGACCCAAAAAACTATAAATTCGAATATGATCATTCTTCATTTATAGCTAGAAAGATACATTAAATCAAAATGTTACTTTCCCTCTCCACCATTTAAACATGCAAAAAGTGTATGAGACACACCATGTTGGGATGCCTCTTTTGTAGTGCCGACATAAGGTACAAGAACCTTCCATCCCCATCAACAATTAATCATGATAAATAATTATTATTCTAATGATTTCAATATGTTAATTAGAGGAAACTTCTTTCAAGAATATGCTAAATATTATAATGATTATTATTAAGCACGATGGATCTTGTCGAATCAGATCCATTGTCTTGAATTTTTACGATGGTATAGTCCGATGAGATCTATCGTTAATCATGATATGTATGAATACTTTCATCTATTCAGAATTATTTGGATGAGTTACACATTAGTTTATCTTTATCGAGTTTTATTATTTAATAATATAATTAAAAATACTTTTCAATGATCATCAATGGGGAACCAATTTTATGATTTAATTATGAAGATCTCAAACACTTCTCTTCATTTTGGATTTCATTTATTTATTAAAGATATAGAGTCTTTTATTTTATTTTTTAAATTTCTTTAATTGTGATGAGGAGATCATGCATGTGGGTGACTTAAGAATAATGCATTTTATTATGTGGTGATTTGACTAATAAATATTTTATTATTATCTTTTCTTATCATGATGAATACTTCATTGATAAGATCAATAATGACCCATCATTACCTCATTGAACACTTTATAAGGATTTTCTAATCACAATGCTACTTTCTCACATGAAACCACCAACCAAACAAAAGAATGCATACCTATCCATCTAGCCCTACATGGGGTATCCCAAATAAAGGCATAATAAAATTGATAATATGTAATAAATTAATAAAAATTTTCTTACTTGGATTCCTTATTTTTTCAATCTAAAATCATGAATCATGAATCATGATCTATCCAGAGGAAATTACTATGTTAATTTTATGATATCAAAACTTTTAAACTCAAGTTAATAATAATATACATGCCTACTTTCATATATTATCATAACCATCCTTTCACTTTCAAAATCATATGTGTACAAAATTGAAATAGATCTATGACTAGATAATAGTATCAATCCCATCATATCATTGTATAAAAGGCTACATATAGGAAAAATACATGGACTTTCACTATTGGGCAGCTAAATGAAATGGATTGACAATTTGTTTGTTATGGGGAACTCCCCATCCAATGGCTTGGGATGTCCACATCTAATGTATCTAATCAATTAAACCTAATTTTTTTGGCCAACCAAGTGGTTGGCTAGTCAATTTTGATGAAGGATCTTAAAAATTGTAGTACTATTTTCTACATTTTTATTTGGTTCTTTTATTTTCCCCTCCACTTGTTTTGTAGGACCAATCTAAATAAATTTTCTTCTCTATAATGAAGATGCATGACAAGCCTTGTATGATTCTATTAGGAGGCTAATAATTAGGTCTAACCTAAGCACACATTAGATGATTTCTTCAAGGAGAATATTAACTTAGAGAAGACGAAAAAATTGGGGGAAATTATATATTAGTTCATGAAATGCAAAAAATTTCATGATTAATAATAACACAAGCTTTGACATTTCTCCTATCTAAAAAAAAATTCAGTTTATATACTAATCTACTTAGATCTTATATAATAATTTTTTTCGTTGAATCACTAATAATAACACAAGCTTTGAGATACTAATACACTAATTGTATACATTAGGTTAGTAGGCAACAAACGATGATCATAGAACCAACATTATGTAACATAATCTCTAAATATATTTTCATTCTTAACTCAATTAAGTCTTAATATTGGAACTTCTAATGAATCTTTTTTTATCGTAACATAATAATAAAAAGGGTCTTTGTTAGTTTTCATAATTTTTTATAAGAATCGACTAGAACAAATTATGTGATGCTTGATATTATAAAGACTTTTTATTTTCGAGAGACGTTCTCCCTTAACTAGTTATAATTTTATGTTACATCCTTTCAAGAAAATAAATATCAAAATTATTTATGATTTCAATAGAATATGTATAAATATTTGAAAAGGTGATCTACCATTATATATTAATAGTAATAATAAGAATTAATATATTTCATCTTAAACCCATAACAAATTCAATTTAAGGATTTATTTTCTTACCATGCATCTATATCTCAATCAACAAGCATTCGGATCCAATGTAAGCTAGTTTGTTGCCATACCCAAAGATGCTTTAGTTGTTGATGAAAACCCACTTATTTAATATATAAAAGTTAAAAAGAAAGTTGTCGTGAGCTTTAATTCCTAAAATTATAATGCCTTATGTCATGACAAATAATTCAAAATATTTGTTTCACATCATTGCAATATTATATATAATGTGATGATGTACTGATTGAGGTTTGATAACGACACTTATTTTTCTTTATGTCATCAGAATAATTAAAATGATAGATTCTGATGCTTGAAATCCATTTAATTCTCTTGCCATCAAAATTAGTCTGTCATTTGATCCTCCCATCATCATTACCAGTGAAACAAATTGTACTAGAAAAAAGATTTTTAGTCTCAATCCTTTTGTAAAGGACTACAGATATTTTATTTATTTCTTCCTTTTTTTTTACTTCCACACTATCCAACATTCACCAAAGCATGCAACAATTATTATTATTTTAAATAACACCTGTTATTTAAAATAATAATTAAGAAGAATACTAGTTGATACATCTTTTATTTAAAATGATAATAAAAAAATATAAGCTCATTAATTAGTCTATAATTCCGTTTGGTCCAAACTAACGTAAATACTTAAGTTAAAATTATTATAATATACTCATCAAACTCTTATAAGGTAATCTTAGTCTTTGTCCACTTTCGATGTGAGATTAATTGAGTGTTACAATCTCCCACACTCAAATGGCTTTACGTCTTTTTCAAGACCCTGCATATAAGGTATAACCCACTGATAGCTCCACATCGTGACGAGTTTTTTGATTCTATCCACAAGTAGTCCTTTCATACTCAAACCTTTTCACAATGCTCAAATACTAAATCGATTTTGATTTTTAAGATATAATATATTTAAATATTAAGATTTTTCACTCGTATCACTTGTATTAATCATCATATAATAAGT